ATAAATTACGTCGCGAAGGCTACAACAATGAATAATAATTTGTTCCAATTGGAAATTCATAATTATTAGAAATGATACATTATTGACAATAAATACACATACATACATAGAAATAAATGTATAAGCATAGGCAGATGCATTTTATGATTTACCTCATTTTGGTCCATTTTGTAATAAATGTTAAATTGTGTGTGTATGCTTTATTGGCACTGATTTTGACAACCGTCAATTTGTTTTAAGTTCTCTCTTTACACAAGATATTGTTAGTATTTACATTTAAAACTATTCTATGTATTGACAGTTAAGACATGGAATGTTAGAAACTTACTTACTAGTTTACTCTGTCTTTGCTGTTTCGTTTTTATATCTTTTTTTATTTTTTTTTTACTTTTTTAAACTTTTTTTTATTACTACGCTAAAACATAAACCCGGTTCGGCACCTCGGAGGTTTAGATCTTCTTAGTAACTTTTTTTATTTTGTTCATCATTTTTTTTTTATTCTTTATTATTTTTTTTATAGTTTTTTTTGTCAGAGTTTTAATTTTAAGCAATTAATATGACTAAGTATATAAAATTTTATATACATCTAGATTCTTTGACTCTAAAAGATGTGTTAGATTAGAAGGTAATTGAACATTAACTTGAACCGGCTTGGTAAAAAAATTTGATATTTCAATAAAATGTAAAGTACATTCTAACAGCATATGTTGTAGATCAGCTAGCTCTCCACATATACATTCATTATTATTTGCCAGTCCCATTTTTCTTTTGTAGACTGGAGTCATACAATGATTGCTTCTTATTCTACAAATAGTTTTGATGAAGCCTCTGTTGGAAACTTGTTTAACATTTTGTAATAAATGTTAAATTAAACGGGGAATAAAAAGTCAGTATATTATCAATACATTTTACTCCACAGTTTATGTTCAAATTTATGTTGTCACACGACTGTAAAACGTAGTTACTCTTCAACAGAATAGTAAATTTACGTAAGACATCTTTGTCAGATTAAAATAGGAACAAAGATCTTGCATGGTTTTCACAGAAATACAGGATTGAAGCAGGCATGCTATCTGTCGTCACACTTCTGGAAATGAAAGATCTTCTCTTTATAAAAATGATTACTAATAGACGGATCTAAGCGAGATTTTCAACAACCATTAGAGCAAGCCGGATTTGGGAGTGGCTTTGGAACAACTGACCACCTACAAGTAATAAAGCCCTTAATAGAAAAAGTTATATAATAAAACAAGCCATTGATGTTAATATTAGTAGACTTTGAGAAAGCATTTGACTCAATACAGCATAGCTCCATGTTAAGAGCGCAGCATTGATCATAGGTAAACAACTCTTCTTTGAAATATATATCATAGCGCGACAGTTGCAGTCAGCATGTATTACGGCGACACAAACACATTTCCCTTAGAAAAGGGTATTAGGCAAGGAGACACCATCTCTCCCAAACTATTCACTGCTTTGTTGCATAATAAATAATTATTGTGAAAATATTGGAGTCAAAATAAATGGAGAGTTTCTGAACAACTTGAAGTTTACAGGCGGCATAGTCCTTATTGCAGACCATGTAGATCATGCATGCCAACTGTTTTAAGACCGTGCATGAATTGACCTTAATTTTCTAAAACACAATACATGACTAAAGTTGTACTGGCCAAAAACCATTTCAACGTATGGCATGCAAATTGAACAAAAGTACATCTATAGGTATCGAAATCACGAGATTAAATTGGAAAGAGACAACCAAACAACCAAGTCAAACAGCAGAATACGACTAACGAGAAGCTTTATAATAACGATAAATAAATAAATATATAATCTTTGATCAGTGTGTGCTTTTGGTTATAATGTATGGAGCAGAAACACTGACCCTTAACAGAAAACTAAATACAAGTGCCACAAAGAGCAATGGAGGGGTCATTGTTGAATATGTCCCTCAGAGTTTTAAATTAAATGATTAGGAGAAAACAAGTGTTACGGATGCAGTTAAACAAATTACAACGCTGAAAGGGAACTGAGCAGGCCATGTTGCCAGAATCAGTTATGAGCATTATTATATCATCATATTAATAAAAAAATTATCTTTTATATAAAAAAAACATGCACATACGTCATGAGCAGCGTATTTTACTTAAAAAATAAATAAAATAAATAAACGAAATAAAATTTTTGTTAAAAAATTAATTACTATTAATCGAATTAAAAATATTTGCGGCCACTTTTTGACTAGCAATCAATCTATTTATCAATGTATTCTCCTAATTTTAAATGTATGTAAAAATGTGAGTTTGATTAACTACGCTATGTACATAGTGATCCTGTCATTGTACATTTTCATCATAAGGATAATTGGATCAATCAAAACATAGTAACTATTATTCATTGTTTAATGCCTATATTCTTTAACAATCAACAAATTGCTAAGTAGTTGTTGGACAAATAAAATTTATTCGTAGACTTTTACGTTTCATTAATATTTTGCCAAGTAATGTAAAATAAAATAAGAGACGATATATGAAATTACACTCTGCGTCGATCGAAGTGGAGCATTATATATGTTTTATGATCCTACATTCAAGTACTGGAGAAAATTCAAATGGGCAATTTAATTCTGTGGAATTAAAATATGCTATTAACAGTTTTAAAAACATCAGAAACAGCCTACCCGCTGTAACGGAAAATATGCAAGAATCAAGGGTGTAATAACTATAATTGGCTTATATGGGGCTAAAAGGGAGGACCGAACAATTACTGGGCTTGGAGATATTGCAAGCAAATAAATCGAAACGTTTACGAACGGCTACTCGTGTTTTGGTTGGAGAGCAAGGTCGTGGATAAGGATTTCTTCTTTTTGGGGGGAACTGGGAGAGCTAACTATGAAAAACAAATAAAAAAAATACTTACAGATATGTCCTGGGAAACACTAAATAAGAAGATTCCTAAACTATTTAAAATTGGGACGCCGATTCCTCTTGCTGCTTAGAAAGAAATATTTTTCTTTCCAAAAAATTTTTAAGGGTGAATATTTTCTTAGAAGAAATAATTATCTAAACTCCTGGTTTGTAAAAAAAATTACATATTTATTTTTATTGTACACAAACAGTTATTACAAAAAAATATTTAGATCTATTAACACACCTTCTTGGACTTCTAACAAAACAAAACTAATGGTTATGTACGAAATGGAGAAAAGCATGTACTAACTGACATATGTCGAAATGAACTTCCAAAGTTTTCTGAATTATTAATTAATTATCAAAAGTTAATTTTATTTAAAATAAACTAAAATATGACAATAACCTGGTACATAAATCTTAAATTTATTTATAAACTTATTAAATTGACATGAGAGCAAATCTTTTTATATTAACGATAAATGTTTATTTAGAAAAATTTTAAAAAAACTTCTCGCTTCACTGGCTAGTTATTTCTTTTCAAATTATTACAAAAGTTTGTTACCTTAGATTTGAATAAAAAACTTTATCCCACTAACTTCAAACCAATCAAAACCTGACCAATGGAAGACAGAATTGATGCTGGACAAATCCTGGGAGAAATTGAATCAGATACAAAAACTGGACTTCAGGTTATCTTGGATGATAACAATATGTATTCTTTAAATTCGGCTGTTCATCGTCCACTCAAAACCATGTCGGCCCACTTGGCATTCAGGGCGGTGTTATCAAATCTCTTGACACAAGGAGATAGCCCCAACAAACGATGATTAACTCGTATTACAAAGATTGCCACATGGCAATTTGAACTTAAATCAGAATCTACCGAAAAACGGTTCCAAAAAAATGTTCACGTTTCCAAACCCTGAATTGTTCTTCCTTTGACTATTAGTTAGTACTTGCACAATGAAAGCGTCCGCCTCCTAATCAAAATATTTCTTGCAGACAAATAAAAAATATCTACGTAAATATCTAGGCGGAACAAATATCAAAAGAAAGAGCAAATTGTTTATTATAAACAGACTAAAAATGTTTATATTATCAATCTTAGACACGCAAAAAGATTAAGAATCTTTTTCGATATATTTTATTATATACAGGGTAAAATGAAAATGCTACAAGGGGACCGAAGAAATAGGTACGAAATGAGGGGAACTTGAATTTATCTGCAAGAGAAAGTTGTACCAACATTATTATTAAATTAAGGATTGTTTACTTGTTTCAAAGACACAATTATGAATATTATAGAAAGGGATTACTATTAGAATACATTGATATCTTCTGCAATACATTTCCAACGGTTGAACAATATGCCCTGAAATTGGAATTGACAATATTTTGGTCGCGGCCAGTAATATCACAAGAAAATGTTGTTTACGTACTTTAAATTTACTAGGGTCATACGGTTTGGATTTAAAATTTTGTAAAATAAGTAAAGTTTTGACTATTTTAATAACTGTGCCAATCAGTACTGCAGAAACTGAAAGATGTTTCTCTACTTTGAGTTCTCGTTATCCATCGAGAAAACTTTGGTTGGAGAAATTTTTACTTCAATGAAAAAGTGACGGAAAGGTTCATCTTCGATAAAAACATAAGTATTGAGTTTCATTTTACGAAGTAGACTTACCCAGTAGTGGTAAGTACCTATTTATTTTTTATATTTTCAAATCAGCGCCTACTGAATAAAATTATCACCAGCCGCCACTGTTTAGTACCTAAATAAAAGATTAAAGGTTATACAACAAACAAATTTTAACATGCTAAAAATTTCTTTTATAAGTATAATAAGTTAATTCGTCACATTACTCTAGTTATTAGTTGATGTTCGGGATAAATAACGCTACTTGAGGTTGGTGAAACGAAATTTAGTCTACGAATAAAAATATAGTCCACAATTTTTTATTTATTGTTGGTGAATATGGAATAAGCTATGCCGTATATAACAAAAGCAAGCAAAACTAATTCTAAATTTAAAGAAGCTTTTACTGCAACTTAATTATCGTAACGGATAGGAGAGTTGATTAAACTAACCATCAGGTTGTTTTAAACCTGGAGTCATGGATCTCAGGAAGTCATCAGGAGTCATGTAAATTTCGTGTTGATCTACAGTTGGTCCTTGAACTTGAAGGGTCGCGAAGTAGCGAAAAACTTTATCTGGAGTTGAGTAGTGTCTTATTCGATTCTCGTATTCGATTATCTGAGCCGCACATGCGTATTAAAAATATGCTAAGTTAATATTTTTTACAGGTCATGAGATGACTTATATACACTATACCTGTAAGTCAGTTGGATGTACAGTCAGTTGCAATATATACCAGAAGGAAAGTCTAATGTATTATACTGAATGTGATATTTAATTTTATTGATTTAAATCAGTTTATGATGGATTAGTAAGAAGTAAACTGTATGAGCCAATGAAAAATTTGACACGCTCGTAAAACTAATAAGGTTGGTGAGGGCTACAAAGCATAAAATTATTTGTAAAGTATAAATAATGGGCAAATATTCACAAATATTCCAAACACATATAGGACAACGACAAGGATCTGCGTCAGCGTATCTACCAGGGGAACAATTTATAATCATTATCATCAACGTGTATGCTTCCACTGCTGGACATAGGTCTCCCTCAGCTCTTACCATCTGTCTTCGTCTTGTGCGGCTTGCATCCAGTTACTGCTAACACGCTTCAGATCTTCAGTCCATCTGATTGGTGGGTGCCAGAAAAAGAAAAAAGCTTACCTGAAATACATGTCTACCAAAACACAAGAGAAATACTATAATTACAAGACAATAAACAACGAAATACATGCACTTGTAAGATAAATAAAAAATAATCACTGGGAACGCTTTTCGAAGGAAATAGAAAATGATTTTTATGGTCTGCAAAAGGAAATATGCTTTATAAGAATTCAAGGAACGGAGGTAAAGGAACTCATCATCATCACTGGCTCGACAACCCTTTTTGGGTCTTGGCCTGTTCAAGGATTCTTTTCCATTCTGACCTGTTTCGTGCATTTTTTTCCAGTTTTTAATTTTTAATGTTGTTATATCATTTTCTATTTGTTCTACGTATCTCAGCTTCGGTCTTCCTCTTGTTCTTTTTCCTACTGGCACTTGTTTGAATATTTTGTTTGGTATTTCGCCTTCTTCCATTCTTTCTACATGTCCAATCCAACGTAGCCTTCCTATTTTAATGAATGTTATGATATCCGGATCCTGGTATATGTTGTATAGTTCAAAGTTATACCTTCTCCGCCAAATCCCGTTTTCTTTTGTGCCCTTATATATGTGTCGCAAGATTTTTCTTTCAAAGGTGGCTAATAACGTTTCCTCTCTTTTAGAGAGTGTCCAGGTTTCTGAACCGTATGTGAATACCGGTCTTATTAAGGTTTTGTATATTTGGCATATGTACCCTTTTGTATGGAGTTGAAGCTTGGACACTTAAAAAATCCAACATTAAAAACCTGGAAGCATTCGAAATGTGGTGTTACCGACGCATTTTGAAAATATCATGGATGGATCGCAAAACAAACGAACAAGTTCTCGAACAACTAGGAAAACAATGCGAAGTTTTAAATTCCATAAAGATCAGGAAATTGGAATACTTGGGGCACATCACGAGAGGTGAAAAGTACGAACTCCTAAGAAATATAATGCAGGGTAAAATCAAAGGTAGAAGAAGCGTAGGAAGACGTAAAATCTCGTGGCTACGCAATCTCCGTGAGTGGTTTGGATGCAGTTCAATTGAACTATTCAGGCGAGTAACCAATAAAATTATAATTGCCAGAATGATTTCCAATATCCGATAGGAGTGGAACTTGAAGAAGAAGAATATTTGGCATTTTGTTTTTCTGGAGACGTTATCTGATCTTAGTTGCCTAATTAAGCCATGGTAACATTTATTGGCAATAAATATTCTCCTCTTCACTTCCTCTGCAACGTTGTTATCAGACGTAACTAGGGATCCTAAGTATGTAAAGTTTTTTACCGCCTCAATGTTGTATTCTTCTATTGTTAAATTTGGCAGCTGCCTTATTTGTGCGTTTTGATTTGCAGGCATATATTTTGTTTTTGTCTGATTGATTTTAAGACCACTATTTTTTGCAGCTCGTTCTATTTAAGTGAATGCCTCTATCATTTCTCTTCTTGATCTTGCGATTATGTCAACATCATCTGCAAATGCTAGTACTTGCACGCTTTTATTAATTATTGTTCCTCGGGTATTAACTGTTGTGTCTCTTATTATTTTTTCAAGTATGATGTTGAATAATATGCATGAGAGAGGTCTCCCTGGCGTAGTCCCTTCTTCACATCTATTGTTTGCGTTAATTCGTTTTGTATCCGGATTTTACTTTCTACTTTTAGTGTTTCTATTATCAATTCTATTAGCTGTGTTGGTATATTAAATTCTTTCATTGCTTTTGTTAGGAATTCTCGGTTTATATTGTCATATGCGCTTTCGAAGTCTATGAAGAGATGATGTGTGTCGATGTTATATTCACTTGTTTTTTCAAGGATCTGTCGCAGAACAAATATCTGGTCTATTGTTGACTTCTGTCTACAGAATCCACATTGGTATTTGCCAACTATTTTTTTCAGTGTATGGTCTAAGTCTTTCATACATTACGTTGGACATTATTTTGTATGCCGCATTCAACAGCGTGATTCCACGGTAGTTTTCACATTCTAACTGGTTTCCTTTTTTATGTAGTGGTACAATAATGCCGCTATTCCACTCCTTTGGTAGCTGTTTATTCAACCATATCTTTCTTATCAGCTCATGTATGGCTTTAAGTAATGCGTCTCCTCCTTCTTTCAGTAGCTCCGATGATATTTGATCCGATCCCGGTGATTTATTGTTCTTTAATTTGTCCACTGCTGTTCTAATCTCTGCTATTGTTGGTGGACTCTTTTCTCTGTTGTCTGCTTGTTCTAACGGTATATCAGGGTTCATCTCCGTCCTATTCACCCCAAGCTTTTCCTTAAAATGTTCTGTCCATCTTCTAAGTATCTCTTGCTGTTCTGTCAATATATTACCCTCCTTATCTTTACACATCGTTGTTCTCGGTTTGAACTCTTTTCTGCTTTTGTTGAGTTTCTGGTAAAATTTTCTTGTCTCTGTTGGTTTACTTATTGCTTGTAGTTCTTGAAGTTCTTTGTTGATATATTCTCTCTTCTTTCTTCGGTTAATTTTCTTTTCTTTTTTACGTAGTTGTTTATACTCTTCCTCTGCTTGTCGGGTTCTGTGCCTCTGTTGCATCTGTAGATATGCTCTGTTTTTTCTTTCTGTTATAGTTTGACATTCTTCGTCAAACCAGTGATTCGTTCTTGTTCTTCTTTCTTTACCTTATAATAGGAAACCTTATAATAGGTAAAGGAACTAATACAACCAAAACACATAAAAAAAGGATACATGGATTGACTACCTAAAGAAGCTCTATGCAGAGGAAGAACAAACGACGCTAAAACCGGAAACACCAGAAATGACCACAAATGCAGAACTTAATATAAATATAAAGGGAGTTTGTAAAACCCAAGCTGAAGGACAGAAAAGAAGCAGGTAAAGACGAGATACCAAATGAATTACTGAAATATTCTGGAGCAGTAATGACATAACAATTAACAACATTAATTAATAAAATTATAAAACACAATAAAATGCCGAAAAAATGGAGAACGAGCGAACTAATTCTACTATTCAAAAAAGGAGAAAAAACAGCCAGAAAACTACAAAGGTATAAACTTGTTAAAAACTACCCTAAAACTTAGAACTAAACTTTTATAAGAACTAAAGAATCAGAGGATAAGTTTAGCAGATGCAAAACAGGATTTTTGTAGTGGAAGATCTTGTACACATGCAATATTCGTCATAAAGCAAATTACTGAAAAATCACTAGAGTATAATAGACCAACATTTCTGTGCCTGATTAACTTAAAGAAAACATTTGACAGAGTAAGACTCAAAGATGTAATCCATCTTGTGTATAATAGAGAAGTTCCCCTAAGATCGAAAGAGAAGTAAAGACATTAGAAGAGAATGTAACGTACAGCGTATAAATGCATGAACACAAAATAAAAAAAAAGGAATAACCACATAAGCAGAATGGAGAAGAAATAGCAAAAGATGTCACCAATCGGCAGAAGAAGTATCGGACGACCGCGCAAAAGATAGAGTGACAACCTTCCATAGAGGTATTAATCCGCAAATGAACAAGCAGAATTGCTTATAAAGATGAAGAAGAAGAAGAAAACCTAGACTGAACGCTGCAATATAGACCCGTACCCCTAGTGCGACAGAGAAAAAAGATGCAAAGTAGTCCCTGCATCTTTTTCTAATGGGCGGGGTTTACTGACCAAGTGACATTTCAACTACTAAATACAAGTTAGGTAACTTAAGTATAACTTACAAGTTTGATGTCAAGTCTAGTGGTATGGAGCTGTAAATTAAAGAAAAGTTGGTAGTAAGCATTTAAAAATCAATAATTCAAATATTTTTTGTTTATGGCAATGATCATTGTAATTTTTTTAACTGTTTTGTAACTTTCCGATTTTTTTCATTTTGTGTATTTAAAGAACTAAAAGTAAAATTCTACTGTAAAAATATAAGTTTTCACATAACAAGTTTTTAATTATTAATGTGTAATTATAATAAACCATTTATAAAGAAAGATTGTAAGATTTAATAATATTTAAGAGAAATAAGAAGCGAGACGGAAACTAAAGCTGACGAACTACAAAAATTAAGTAAACAAATATCCAAAGCTATTAGATCAGACACTCGAAAATACAACCAAGAACAAATCGAACATACCATTGAGAACAATAGAAGTATGAAAGTATTGAGAAAAAGAGTAAAAACGGGCGACAAGGCAGATAATAAAGATTAAAGATAGAAATGGCCATCTTACAACCAACAGAAGTAAGAAACCCTTAAAATAGTTGAAAACTTCTACAAATTGCTGTACACCAAGTACAAGTACCAGAAATATTAACAAAGAAAAAGGGCATTGTCAACCAAGGATTAGAACTACTACCGGAAATCACAATGGACGAAATAAAACTAGCCGTAAGAAAAGCTAAGAATAACAAATCTCCAGGCGAAGATTGTGTAGTTACTGATGCAATCAAAATCGGAGGCACTTGCCAACTTAAGAAAATAAAAAACCTTTTAACATGTGCCTTACTGTAATATACCCGACAAATGGCACAATGCTGAGGTAATTCTATTGTACAAAAAAAGAGATATTACAATATTAAAATTACAATTTTTACATTAAAATTACAATACATACAAAAACGCAACTATGTCGGTGAAACTACATGAAAAAACGGATCACATCCCAATCGGCAGAGGAGTCCGACAGGGTGATACCTTATCGCCTAAACTATTTACCGCAGTACTAGAATATGTTTGTAAAAAACTTAACTGGGAAGAGAAAGTCCTGAACATTGACGGTAGAAGATTAACAAATCTGAAATTCGCAGACGACATAGTTTTGTTCTCGGACAACCTCAAGGAGATATGTACAATGCTACATGAACTTCAGTTAGTGTGTGCCAGTGTGGGTCTTAAAATAAACATCTCCAAAACAAAATTCATGACAAACCTAGTACCTAGCGGAAATATCAATATTGGAGACAATAAAGTAGAGCTGGTGGAAAAATACATATATCTTGGACACGAAATAAAGATCACAAGAGACAACCAAACATGCGAACTACAAAGAAGAATAAACCTAGCATGGGCAGACTCAAAGACATCTTTAAAAGCGATATACCAATTTCTTTGAAACGTAAAACATTTGACCAATGTGTGTTGCCTGTGATGACCTATGGTGCCGAAACTTTGACATTGACAGCTACAAGCTCAGAGGAAAATGGAAAGATCAATGCTGAGTATATCGCTTCGTGACCGAGTTAGAAATGAAGACTTAAGACGAAGAACAGGAGTTACCGATGAAATTTCCGAATTGCAACACTGAAATGCAACTGGGCCGGACACGTCGCTCGAATCAGTGATGAAAGGTGGACGAGGAGATTGCTTGAGTGGAGGCTGAGGTTAGATAAAAGAAGTAGAGGAAGACCCCCTACACGATGGACTGACGATCCCAAGAACATGTCAAGAAATTGGATGAAAAGTTGATGGATTCGACCGTTACTTGATGGAAATTCATTTTATGTAACAATAACTTACATCGGTCAAAACTGTAGAAACTTTGATAAAAGAATAGCAGAACATAAAAGGGCTTTCAAGAATAGAAAAACAGATTCGATATACGCACTTCGCCTTCTAGATCATAATCATTCTTTTAATGACAAATTAAAAATTTTTCACATTCAAAATAAAGGCCTTAAGCTATCTTTGTTAGAATCTATGGAAATCAACAAATTAAAAAACACAGATATAATTCTAAATGACCAACTTGAGACAAACAGTTCTCCCCTCCTCAACCTATTTCATAGAGGCTATAAATTTGTAAACCCAAGCCAAAATAGATCACTTGAGAAAGGCAATCAGCCGAAACAGCTGTAGTGATAATATTTAAAATAAATTTTGTGGAAGTTTGAAAACAAAGTTTTTCAGTGTTTTATTGTTACATGGATGAAAAGTGCTCAAGACGGAGCACAATGGACAAAAATGGGGGAGCCTATGTTCAGCAGTGGACGCAAAGGGCTAGATGATGATGAATAAACGTAATATTAAGTATTATGAAATTTATATAAAAAAAGAAAAATCAATAGAATATTGAAACCCCGATTATACCGGGTATCCAAAATGAGAAACAATACCATATAGAGCTATCACTCGACTTGTTACATTAAACATATAAGTTATATTTAGGTTGCTGTACTTGGTAGTGGGAAGTTCACGTGGGCAATCAACTCTGCCAATAAGAAAGACATGCAGAACTGCTTTGTATTTTTTTGTCTGTGGAACTGTTGGAACGTTTCTAAATTGCAGTGGTCAGTCTAAGTATTATATGTCTATGAAAAAAAAGCTTATTTCAGACAGATTGTGTATCTTCCTGAAAATATAAGGGAGTATATAGTTTAGTACATGGAATCTGAAGAAAAAGAATAAAAGGAAAATATAAAACAATCTCATTTGTATTCATATATGCCCTACGAGAAGAAGACTATTGAAAAGACTACTTATGTTGACAAAATATGAATTTTGTAGTATGATAGACATCCACGATAGATGTTATCGTTCTAAAATATGATCTAAATGATGATGATGATTTTTATGATCTAAAAATTGTACTTGACGATGAGAATACAAAAATATGGAAAAAAGTAGGTTCATACGAGTAGGCTAAACAACAAAATTTTTATTTAACGTTATAAAAACATTATAAATATGTCAATAGATGGATTATAGGAAACTCCTTCTGGTATAAACCGCAAGACTATAAACTTGCCAATGTGTCGTTATAAGTTTAAAGCTACATGCATAACACATAGTAGTACAAATATACTATAACCAACTTCTATAAATATCTATTATTCTATCTTTATAGTTTTTAATTATAAATATTCCATATAAATAGTTCCATAAAAAACACCTAACCATAAACCTAGCCATAAAAATACTAACTGTAGTAAATGACATGGTAAACATTACGCTAAAGCTGACAAAACACTAAAATATGTTTACAGTACACATTCACCAAAAGTTGGTTTAAAGCACATACATTTTGCAACATTGGTTTTTGTTCGTTTCACTGAGCGTTTATGCTGTTACCTTGCTTAGTCCTGATCAGCATTCACTGATATGCTAATCTGTCAAGGTAATTTACTATTGTACTGCCTTCATATATTACCAATACATAATAATATACTCATCACAAAAAGTATCACACAAGTTGCTTGTAACCATTAGTTTTATTATCTCCTAAAACTTTCTGGAAATACAGGTAATAGTCTCATTATTAATAATTTGATGGGGCACATAAGAAAGAAACAATGCTATGATAATAAGTCTCCTCATGGGAATAAGATATATCATTAGAGCCAAACCAGAGATGGCAATACTCCTTATTAAATTATTACAATTATCCACGGTTTCTTGTCTTTTTATTTTTAGTTTTATAGAATAATTGCAACTTTATTATTTTTACATATTACACTTTTGATCTTTGAGTTAAATCAGATAAATATTTTTATCTGATTTAATGTAATCTGCAATGTTTCCAGATTTACCATTTTTCTGATGTCATTGGTCACCTTAGTTTTTGAAATATAACACTCTATATATTGTATTATTTTTGGAATCCTCACTTCAATACCAGTTCAACCATATGTAACACTTGCTACTTTATCTAGTCACGAAGATCTTAAATAAATAAAAATTCTCAGTGCCAAATAGTTTTGAAGTAATTCAGTATCAATACTGCTGTCATTTTGACATTAATTCATAGAACTAACAATAGCATGATATTTGTTGAAGTGTTAAAAAATAAATTGTAATAATATCTAAAGCTGACAGTTGTTTTATGTGTTTTTAAAAGCTCAAAAATAAATATGGTCTGGAAATAGGCCACAATTAAAGGCTAAAGTACGTTTATTGGCGTTTCAATTTCCACTTCAGAAATAGTTCTCAAAATACAAACATTAGTGACCACAAACATCACTAATGTTTGTATTTTGAGAACGATTTCCGAAGTGGAAATTGAAACGCCAATAAACGTACTTTAACCTTTAATTGTGGCTTATTCCCATTTAAATAGTAATCACTTAGCAAATTCTAGTATTCTGTGTTTTATAATCAATAGTAATCTTTTTGCATATTTATTGAATATTGAATAAAAACAAAGTAAATTATTACAATATTTTACGATAACATTAGTACTTTGTTAAGCCACCCTTGGTTTTAAGCAGTGCAGCTACTTTCCTAGGCATGCTGTTTATGCATTTTCTTTCGATTTCTTTTAAATTTTCGGCGTGATTTCAATGGAAAATGATTCTTTTTCTCAACTGAACCTGGTTGGTAATTATTTTCTTGGCTAACTTTTTTTTAGACACTCCCAGACATTTTCAATGGGTTTATGTTTGATGAGTTGCCGGGCCATGGTAAGAGAGTAAGAATTTCTTGTTCTAACAAAAATTTTTATTACAATACTTTGTAGGCAAGTGGTCCATACCTGCATGAAAATCTTGACTTTACGAAACCATTCGTAAATGTATATATGTTAAGGCTCATACGGCTAATTAAAAAGTACCATAACTTTTCCGAATCACCGACCATATTATGTACTGAGGAGTGATGATGTACCATAGATTAAATTAGGCAACACCCCTTTACATATGTTTAATTCCATTGACGTCTTCGAACAAACGCCTGTATACATAATTTAAGATGATGAGTTACCGATGGAAGCAAACATGGCGACATGTGAATACACGTTAAGTTGATAGTCCTGAGACGGTATTTTCT